GAAGCCAGACAGCACGCAGCAGCTGGGCGAGGTGGAAGCAGGGCGACGCACTTCGAGCAGAGCGCCTGCTTACCAGCGCACTGAAGCAGGGGCTCGACGGGGAGGTTCCGGAGGAGCTGAACAATACATTTTTGCGGCTTGTTCGAGCTCCAGAAGAGGCGGTGTTCGGTCCATCGCGGTCGTCGCCTTCCTCCAGATTCTCGCGTTGCAAGCCTTGCTCCAGCGCAAGCCGGAGAGGTCAAGGAGCCACCGATTTCATGCAGTTCGCGCTGGGGCACGTTGTCGGCGCCGACGCTGCTTTCAAGGCACTCAGTCAGCTTACCCGCGACGTTCAGGAATTCTACGGGCGCGTTCAGCTTGGACCTGAAGACCGTCTACGGTATGGTCCGCTGGGGGCCGCCCAGGCGGCCGTTCGCGCTCGCACGCCACCGATGAGCAATTGGCAGATCGCCTGCGCAACGCCACCACCCGGAACGCCAGCGACGCAGCTGATGGCGACATTATCGGGTTCGATCGGCACCGGTGTGCCGCAAGGGTGTCCTCTAACATGTTTGGGACGTTTCCCTTCTGCATGACATTGGCCAGCCTTGCGCAGGATATGCGGGAAAAGCTCCAGTGGCGAAGCCTTGGGACGGGTCTCTTGGCCTGCGCGGACACAATCTGCATCGCGAGGCGTGCTGCCAGAATCGCGGTTACGTGCGATGTGTGGACCGCCGAGCTCGCTCGGGTGTGCCTGCGGTGCGCACCAGAAAGGACGAAAGTGTGGCTTGCTTCGCCCGAGGCGGCGCAGAGTCTACCAGCGACACTACGTCCCGAGGCGGCGCTCGACCTCCACGTGTTGGGGTGCACTCTCCACCACCACTCAAGGAAACCACTTGGCGACCGGGTTAAGCAGTTCTGAGCAGGGCATGCCGATAGCAGCGGCTCTGGCGCGAAAGACGGCAGCCGTTTTCAAGGACACCCGACATCGCAAACTTTTTTGCCAGGGCGCGTCCACGCTTCCGAGGTACGTCACAGTCGGGCACCCCAGCACTCGCCCCGGTCGCGCCTTTTGGAGTGAACAGGCAATCGCGGACTACAGCAGCGCCATCGCGGACGCGCGGGCCGAACAAAACAGCATTATCACGGTTCTGGAGCAACTCGAGATTGACAACTTGCCACTTCGCGACCTCGGCGCTGTTTTCGGGTTGGCCACGCCACGGGCGTCTGATGACGCGGCAGTGTGCCAGAGGTCCTGTGAACTTACGCGCCCTGTTTCCCAGGCTCGCGGCGGAGCTGGTGAAGGCGAGGGCTGAAGTGTCAGCCCCCGCGCCCGCGCTGGTCGGCGACGCGAAACTGGACTGCGCCACCGAGGCAAAAAGTGCATGCAGAGGCTGATCATGGACGCCGTGGCCCTTGGTGCCCGCAATGTTTTCTTCGACGGACTCCAGGATCCGCATTCGGTCCCGCTGCGGCAGGCTGGCGGAGCCGGAGCAGGCAGCTTCTTGTGCGTGCCCCAGCCTGGCACCCAGGCCATCGCGGACGGTACGTAGCGCATGGCTCTGCGCAGGCGCCTGCAGTGCACAGTTGAGAAGATGGAATGTCTGCGCTTGGGGAGACGCGTTGACACCACTCCCGTCCACGGGGCCCTTGCGGAACGCAGCTGGCTGGCCTTGAAGGTCTCGTGAACGCGGAGGGCCGCAAGGTCGTCGTAGCCGTTGTCGGGGGCCACATCGACACCCGCGACATTGTGGCGCTTCGTCATGGCACACATCGACACCCTCGCGTTCCGCGAGCAGCGGCTGGAGAGCTTGCGGGTGCCGACCTCGGAGGACGCGATGGCGGACGACGAAGCAGAAGACGCGTTGGACGTTGCCGTGGACTGCGATGGCCCATGGCACGCCCCGCATCCAGGCAGCGCCCAAACGGGGCGGAGCCGCAGCGGTGGAGGAGGAGGAGGAGGAGGAGGAGGAGGAGGAAGAAAGGACCAAGCTGCGGCGCTCCGCGGGGCTACATTTCCCCGCGCGCTTCCTCGAGCCGGGAGCCGCCTGGGCGAGAGCGCGCGGGCGACCGTCCGCATGCTTGCCGCAGGCGGCCAGTCGCGGGCCTCCGCTGCGCTGGCTGCTGGGTTCTTGCAGGAGGCAGGCATTCCCCTGCAGGCCCCCGTCGTCGGGCGCATCGCGAGCGCCAACGCCCGCCTGGATCCCCCATCTCACTGGCGGGATCAAGGCAAGGTCGTGGCTCGGAGGTGGCAGCCCTGTGAGTGGACAGCGCTGACAGAGAGGACGAGGAACAGGAGGATGACGAGGTGGAGGGCGAGGACGAGACGACAAAGAACGGACGAGGACGGGAGGGCAGAGGACGACGACCAGGGCGAGCAGGCAGCGCGGAACGAGGAGGAGATGACAGAGGACAACGGCGAGGGCGAGGAGGCGAAGCCACGTGGGGCGCGACCAGGAAACGTAGAAGGCAGAGCACGTTGAGGGCAAAGACCATGACGCTGAGGACGAGGAGGAAGAGCCAGAGGAACAGGAAGAGGAGGAGGAGGAGGAGGAGGAGAAGGAGGGGGAGAGCAAGGACGACGGCGTCGACTGTGACGACGACGGCGGCGATGAGGACGAGGCAGATGCGGCGCGGTCGTTGGATAAAAGTTGCTGGAGGTTCCTTCTGGAGGAAGGGCGGAGGCAAGGCGGTGGAGGAGGCGACAGAGGCAGATGCGGAGGCCGATGAGACGCCAGTTCTGGTCGCCTACGTTGGGTCGGAAGTGGTATGCAGCCTCTCCTGCAGATTTACTCTGGAGCAGGAGGGAGGAAGATGATGATGATGATGATGATGATGATGATGATGATGATGATGATGATGATGATGATGATGATGATGATGATGATGATGATGATGATGAGGATGAGGATGAGGATGAGGAGAGGAGGAGGAGGAGGAGGAGGAGGAGGAGGAGGAGGAGGAGGAGGAGGAGAAGGAGGAGGAGCTGGAGGCATCACCAAGTCTAGTTCGAGTGCGCCGACACGGGGAAAGAGACAGGCCAGGACGGGCAGAAAAGGGCGAGCACGCGCGACTCGACGACATAAAGAGGATGTGACAAAACGCGAGGCGAATCATCGGAGACGCCCGCACCGCGGGCCTCCAGAGGCCCGAGCCCACCTGTGGGGCGGAGGCCCCGCGGGGCGGTTGGAGGCAGGAGGCGCCCCGACGCGCGCGGCAGGGGAGGGGCCGGAGGCCGCGGCGCCTTCGGGCGCGGGCTTCTGGAGGCCCGAGCGCCCCCCCGAGCATCCTCGCCCCGCCTGGCGTGGGAGGGGGCGTCGGGGGGAGGCTCGGGCATGTCGGGGCGCTGCATGCCTGCCGACGTGGCCAGGCGGCACACCTGGAGAAGGTCCAGGTCCCTTTGCTCCGCCTGCTCCGGTTCGAAGCCTGCCCGTCTGAGAAGCCAGAGACCGCTCAAGGCCCACAAGGTCCGAGGGCAGCGGCACTTCCGCTCCCTCCAAGGCCCCAGTGGGCCCCGAGGATGCGCTGGCCACGTAGGAGCCCTCGACGCCAGGGGAAAGACCAGGGGCTTCAGAGCCCGCCCTGACACCAGCAGGCGGGCCAGAGGACGTCTCAGGCGAAAGGCCCACCAGGCCAACCCCAGAGCCAGCGCCACCCGCATGCGCCGAACAGAACGTTTCAGGCGAGAAACCCTCCTGGCCCCAGAGGGCCGCCGCCTCGGCTACGTGACGCGCGCGGAGCCTGCGGGCCCTCGCACCTCGGGCGGAGACTCCGCAAGCCGAGCAGCGGTCACAAGACCACTTCCTGCCACGCCTCCTCACCGCACGAAGAAAGTCAGCCGCCCTCCGCCGGGGCAACAGGCTGCCCAGGGACAGCGGGAGCAGCAGGCCGCTCGGCTGCCCAGCGGCGCCGCAGGCCAGCGGCACGCCGCCGCGGCACCTCCACGCGGTCCGCCTCCACAGCGCCGGCGAAGAGCAGCTTGGAAGCGTGGCCGATCCAGGAGGCCACCTGCCGCAGTCTGGCGAGGGCCGCCTTGCGCATCCCTACCGTGGCTTGAAGCAGGTCGCGTAGGCGCCGCCCACGCTTGGCAGCCTGATCCGCCAGGTCGTTGCAGCGCTTCCCCCAGAAGTCCTCACGCTGGTGGCCCTTCACATACGTGAAACGCTCGGGCGGCGCACCATCAGGCCCTGGCTCCGTCCCACCGTGCTCGTCGATGTACTGGTATAGCCTCTTCCAGAGATCGACGGTCTCACCCCGTGAGCTGGTGCAACAGCGCCGCCCACGCGCTAGCCCATCCAGCAGCGGCAGATAGCCCGCGTGGATATGAAGCGGGACTACGGCCGCAGCAAGCACCTGCAGCGCGGCGTGCAGTCCAGCGCGTCCAGAAGTCTGGCGAGGCCTAGGGAGAGGCCAGAAGACGGCACCATAGTATCGGCAGTCACCGACCACCACGAAACCCCATCCAGTTCTGGCCGCAACGTCCCAGTGCTGAAGCTTCTGACAAAACCATATGGGAACACCGTGCCCGTGATAATGAGATGCTCCGAGCGCGCTCCACGATCATGGTGCCAGGCGCCTGAGTCGTCCCTCGGCGGCAACGCCGGCAGGAAAGAGTTCGGGCACAGACCCTTCGAGTAGAGGAGATCCACAGGCGCAGTGCGGCACGCAGCAGCCAACGCATCCCCATCAACAGCGTGCTCACGACATTCGGCCAAGGCGGGACAGCACCAGTACCGATGGTGCAAGGTGACTGGCACACCGTCACAGTGCAGGCAGTAAGGGTGGTCGGCGTTAGCGTACTGGTGGAGCCTCTTGTGCGAGTAGTGCGCTCCGAGCACGGCAGTCCGAAGAGCAGCGCGCGCAAGTGGATCCAGCACCCAGCGCTTAGCCTTCAGACCCGTCTGAAGCAGAACACGAGTGGGCGCCAGCCAGGCACCAGCGGGGTCCCTGTGACTTGGGTCAGGGATCTCAGGCATGACCCCGACGCGGCCTGACCAGTGTAGCCAACCAAGGGCCTCGCAGGCCTGCAGAGCATGCCAGTTCACGACCGACGGTGCAGCTTCGCGGAGGTCGATCACTTCACCTCCACGCGTGCGCACTGCAGAGGCCGAAGAGCATGTCCAGCCCAATGTGACCAGTGACCTCCAGAAGGCGCCCGCAGGGCCTGCCACGTGCCTCCAGGGCTCCTCAGGTGGGACAGCTGCAACTTCTTTACGCCTCACGTATCCCCACCAGTCGCCTGCCCTGTTGCGTAGCTTGCAATTTTTCCGCCGCCTGTTAGCTGCACGCGTTCGGTCCCGTGTTAGGCCGTTGTAATTCAGGTCTTTGCTACTTGTCACCTTCCTGGCGGCGCGCGGCTCTCCCGCTTGCGCTCGCGAAAAACATATCCCCACCAGCCCACTCAGCAACCCTGCCCTGCAGAGCTGAGGGGAAGAGGGGCGAACAGACTCATCTAGGGAAACAAAGCGAGCAAGGGGGTGGCCTTGGAAGACCTTCGGGCCATCCCTGGGTGCCGTGTGGGGGCGGACGAGGACTTATGGAACCATCTAGAGGTACTCTTGCGGCTGCTGCTGCTGCTGCTGCTGCTGCTGCTGCTGCTGCTGCTGCTGCTGCTGCTGATGCTGCTCTCTGGGAGTCTGGGAGCCCTCTTGGAACCCTCTTGGTAGCCCCGGAAGGCTTCTTGGGACCATCTCCGAGGCCATCGATTACAAGATGAGGGGCTCCCCCAACTCAGCTCCCCCCTCAGGAGCCGGCAAACCGCTTCTTGGGGCTCTTTTGAAGCGTTCTTGGAGCGGTCTTGCGGCCGTTTAGGGCATCTTGGGAGCCATCTTGAGCCAGCTTGGGCTATCTGAGCCATCTTGGAGGTCATCCTAGGCTCTGAGGCCGCTCGGGGGCCTCTTGGGGGCCTCTCGGGTGCCTCTCTGGGCCCTCTTCGGACCCTCTTCGGGCCCTCTTGGGGCTCTCTTGGGGCTCTCTTGGGAGCCCTGGAGCGCCTCTTGGGGCCATCTTCGAGGCTATCGATCCAAAGGAGGGAGGGTCCCGATCGAGGCATTTTGGACGCTCTAACCCCTCGCGGCCCCTCCCGTCCAGGTCCAGGGGAGGGGGTAGGGGGAGGGGTCAAGACGCCCTCCCCGCCCGCAAGCCGTCTCGCTCACTCCCACCCGCCCTCCCAGCACATACGTAGCACCCGAGCCTGGCCCGAGCCGCAGCATATGCAGCAGTCGTCTTCGGATGGCCAGCTACTGGGGGCCAATCCGCCGCCGCCGCCGCCTCCGCCGCCGCCGCCGCCGCCCGCTGCCGCCGCCGGCGCCGCGCCGCCGCCGCCGCCGCTGTCCGCCGCTGCCGCCGCCGCCGCGCTGCCCGCCGCCGCCGCCGCCGCCGCCGCCGCCCGCTGCCAAATCGCCGCCGCCGCAGCCGCTGCCGCCGCAGTCGCTGCCGCCACCCCGCCGCCGCCGCCGCCGCCACCGCCGCCGCCCCGCCGCCGCCGCAGCCGCCGCCACCGCCGCAGCCGCCGCAGCCGCTGCCCCCGCCGCAGCCGCCGCAGCCGCCGCCGCCGCCAAGTGTATTCTGTTTTGTCTTTTGAGAGGGATGGTGTGGGGAGGCCGCATCGGGTTCGCTGCGCATGCTCCGAATTTGGAGACAGAGTATCTTGCATGGTTTTTTACAAGGGATGGTGGGGGGGCCCTCATGGACTCGGGATGGCTCCCAGTCGCCCGGGGGAGGGGGTGTATATTAATAGGGAAGAGTGACCAAGTTAGCCCGCTCGAGCGAGCCAGAGGGCTCCGTCCACTCCCACCCGCCCTCCCACAACATAAGAAGCAAGTGCGTCGCTTCCGACGCCTGTCGCTCATCTTATATCGCGGGCGGTTCGACGTTCAGCGCGCGACATGAGCTGCGTCCTACTCCTGCCGCGCATTGAGCAACGTCGACGAGAAACAAGACCGCGCGCGATGTACGCCCGCCCAGCTCCTCAACCAGACGGGCCGCAGCGCCGACGACAAGTCCATGTTGACGAGCAGGCGTCCCCGCGCGATGTGCGCCGCGTCCCATTCCGCTACGCGATTCGCAGCGCCGACGATGAGAAAGTACAGGTTGGCAAGAAAAACGTCGACGTTGCTGTGTTTTTGGACAGGTAGGACGGGGGGTCCCGCGTAGGGTTGGCCAGGCGTCCGCGCGCGATGTGCGCCGCGTCCCATTCCTGCTACACTTTTCGCAGCGTCGACGACAAGAAAGTCCATGTTGACAGGAACACGTTGATTTTGTATTGCTTTTGATTGGTAGGACGCGACCACCCGCTTAGGGTTACCCAAGCGATGTCCATTCCGTGCAATTCCTGCTACACTTTTCGCAACTCGATGATATGTTGGCGAGAAACACATTGAGCTCGCATTGTTTGTTGATGGGTAGGACGCGACCACCCGCTGAGGGTTACCCAAACGATGTTCATTCCGTTGTATTCCTCGTACATTATCGCAACTCGACGATATGTTGGCGAGAAAAAATGAGTTTGTGTTGTTTGTTTACAGTTAGGACGGCGGGGTCGCAATCGGCCGGCTAGGTGGGGGTGTGGGGGTGTTTAATCATAGGAAGTAAGGATAAACCCGTGCCCGGAGGGAAAGAAGGTTTTTGGAAAAGGAAAGAAAGTCACCGTTAGACCAGCTGCGCCCAAAGGGTTGGTGGGATCTTCATGGACGGCGAACGCCAGGCAGTCTGCATGACATCATGAGGCACGTCACCAGCATGTAGCAAGACTCCCCAGTTGTGAGTAGGCCCAACCACAGACACAAAGGCCGGTTGATGATCAGGTGTTCGATCAAACCGCGAAGCGATCCAGGAGGAGGAGGACGAAGAGGAGGAGGAAGAGGAGGAGGAAGAGGAGGAGGAGGAGGAGAGTTGAAGATGAAGGATGGAGGATGGAGGAGGATGGCGAAGAAACGTCAGCAGCAGCAGCAGCAGCAGCAGCAGCAGCAGCAGCTCGGCGGCCAGCGCGCCCAGGCCGAGGCGTTCCTGGCTGGCCTGCTGGGACGCTACCCGCGGAGCGCCGTGCTCTTCGACTACTTCGCGGCGCCGGCGGCCAGCGTCTGGGGCTCGGCGCGCGCCCGCCTCGGCATCCCGGCGGCGGTGCTGCTGCTGTTGCTGCTGTTGCTGCTGCTGCCCCAAGGAGACGCGGAGGACGAGGGGGATGGAGGAGGACGAGGGGGATGGAGGAGGAGGAGGAGGAGGAGGAGGAGGAGGAAAAGGAAGAACGCGAAAGGCTACTAGGCGCGTTCTGCGCGGGAAGACGTGGAGGCCTGGGCGGCAGCATGTAAAGCTTCACTTGTATCTGCCGACTGTTGACCAATGTGTTTTGAAATTGGTGGCCAAGCCCCTTGAGACATGCCTCTGCCGCATACTGGGAAGCACGGCTTGTCATACACCGCACCTCCTGTTTACCGCACTGGCGCACACCAACTATCCCGGCGCAGCCTGTGCTACGACATTTCGCTGGCAGTTGGCACGCGCAAGAGGAAGCAAGTCGTATGTACATGTATGTGTATTTATGTATATATAAATGTTTGTTTTTTATTTTTTATTTTTATTTTTAAGAAAAACAACAAAACAAAAAAAAAAAAAAAAAAAAAAAAAAAAAAAAAAAAAAAAAAAAAAAAAAAAAAAAAAAAAAAAAAAAAATATAGCGGCCGGGTGACAGCACCACTGCGAATACGAAGACGCGGCGCGCTTAGCTCCATTACCCTCGGACGCTGGAGAGATGCGTACAGAAAAATGCGGGACCGCGGGTGCACGTGGAGAGCGCCGAATAGGCCATGCAGGTGCCGAAGCGCGTGGAGCACAGTTGGCACTGAGGTGCAGGAGGAAGAACTCGTGCACGATACTTGTTCTTGCAGCCCACTTGAGGGTGCGACCAGGCAGCCGGTGCAGCGTTGAACGGAGGAGGCCAAGGAAGAGTAGATAATTGCGGCCAGCAGCCTTGCTGCAACCTCGTCAGTGATTGAACTGTGAGGAAGTCTCAGGCAGGAGCCCCCTCCCTATGCTCTCTTCAGAGGGCGATTCGCCCGACCCATCATGTGAGGAGGAAGAGGAGGAACAGGAGGTGAGGACGACGACGGCGGCCGGGCGCAGGGGGAAACCCTTGCGTCCGGGCCGGGGGTGGTAACCCATCCTCGGTCGAAGCGGGGGCAGGGGGAAATTTTTGTCTCCGGGCTTGCGGTGGTAACCCATCGTCAGCCGAATCGGGGGCAGGGGGGAACCTACCCCCGATTCGGAAACGCAGAGAAGACAATAAGGACGCTTCACGACTCGCGTGAAGGTCATTTCCAGATTAGCCGAAAGGATTTTCATGTGGGGTCTTTCCGTCGGAGTAATTATTAAGTGCACTTGGCAGCTTCGCTACGCTTGCAAAACAAATAAATATCATATGTCCTCTTCCTCCTCCTCCTCCTGTCCCCCCTCCTCCGCGGCCTCCTCCACCCTCTCCAACTCCTCCTCGTCCTTCTCCTTCTCCCCCAGGGAGCCCCTTCACCTCCCCTTCTCCTCCCGCTTCCTCTGGCTGGCGAATACAAGGGCCTCCGAAGTGCCTTTTGGGCCAGTCTTAAGCCGTCGTGGGTGGACCGCCGGACATCTTGGAAGCCACTTGGGCCATCTTCGTGGTTCTTGAAAACCCTGGACAAAAAGTGCCATGGAATAGAGAAGCCCAAGAGTTCGACCATTAAGCCTTGCACGAACTTGAGCGCGCGCGAAGTGCGCGTTGTGTTGTGTTGTGTTGTGTTGTGTTGTGTTGTGTTGTGTTGTGTTGTGTTGTGTTGTGTTGTGTTGTGTTGTGTTGTGTTGTGTTGTGTTGTGTTGTGTTGTGTTGTGTGTGTGCGTGGTGCGTGTGTGTGTCAAAGGCCCGAGCTCCAGCGGGGCAGCATGGGTGCGGCGTGCGTTACGCGATGGGCCGCAACACGCGCCGCAAGCGCGCACCTAGTAGCATTCACCGGGGGGGCGGGGAGGCACTCTGGCGCTCCTGGAGGCCGGCAGCGGC